CAAAAATGTTCTTGACAGCAGCTGAGTGAAAACTCAGGTCTAAGACACTGGATTAGGGTGTAGACATACATGAAAAATTCTTCCAATTGCACGAGTGTCCAAAGATTAAATTTCAGCAGCAACTATTGTGGTTAAAACTTAAGGAGCCCATATTACACAGGTTATAAGGAACATGTGTGTGGAAAACAACAGAAATTAGAAAGAGAAGTAGAAAATGCACTTAGACATTAATATGGCCCTGCACCACATTTGGTAGGTTCTGATTCATCCAATGACCTAGATTTCTTGTAGTATTTGGGGGAGGGAGGTGTACAAGGCTAAAGAAAATTTCCTCACTTAAAAATTTTAAAAACTATATGAGAAACATCCTGAAAGCAGCCTCCTTTTGGGAATTCAGGGGATTATAGAGAATCCTTTCTCAGGACGGTGACAGCTGTCTACCCAGGGGCTTCTTCACTAGGTCACATCTGCGTGGCCTCTCTCAGCAACTAGAATCCAAGTGAAGGCCTTGGGGTCTATCTACTCACCACAGTATCCTCCATCCCTCGTGTAATGTGTGTACTTAAAAATATTAAGGGAAATTATGAAATTAGTAAAAGAACCTTAGCACAGCCAGTTGCCAGTGGCGTTTTCTGTAGACCAAGTCAGAAATGACAAACCATGGGTTGTCATTTGACTATCCACCATTGTACAGAAACTGCAGCTCTGCATGTGTGACTTCACGTATTGCCAGTAAGGTCTACACATGCAAAGAGAAGAGAAAAAAAGTACAAAGTGAACACATGAAGATAATCATAACACCACTGGTAACAGTAGCCAAAATTTGAAGTAATTAAAATATTTGTGACTAAGGTATGGAATAAATAGGTTAAATGTAAAGTCATGTGCTGCCTAGGAAAATGTTCTGAGAAATTTTTTTTTTTCTTTTTATATTTTTAGGGAAAGGTCTAGAGGGTGTTCAGGGTCTCACTACCAGATCAGACTTGTAGTGATCCACCTGTTTACAGCCTCCCAAAAGCTGGGATTATAGGTGCGTGCCACCATGCCCAGTCTCAATGGCTGTCTCGGCATGCCCTGGGGTGGAGCCAGCATGGCAGGCCCTGGGATCGAACCCCGGGTCCCTACATCTGCCTAAACAGGCATTTTAATCCACTGAGCTATTTGGCTGGCCCTTGTTCTGAGAATTACGTCACTAAGTGATGGGGTCATAGCGTGAGCAGCATAGTGCACTTGTACAAACTTAGACAAAACTTGCCTATCAGTCCTCCTGGCCTCACAGGGCAGTGTTGTTGTGAGCAAGGTATGATACGGCTGCTGCACTGACGTGGCATATTTTGACAGTAAACTTTTTGGTAACCACAGAGAATCAACTCCAAAGTACAAAATGCATAATGTAGTATATATATAAGCTGTTAATATAGTGGTTAATTGCTGTTATCAAATACTATGTGCTGCGTCTAAATTGCATGGCATAGCCATTCATAAGAGTGGCCACAGTTCTGTATGCATCAGCCTCCTCCAAACCCATGAATAATAAATGCACTGTGCTCTGACATTGTGATGGCTGTGCTGTCACCAGGGAAAAGGAATCACTCAGTTTCTATGATCTGATGTGACCACGGCGTATATGCAGCCCATCATTAACTGAACACCTTTATGTCACACGCGGCTGTGGGCTGTGTTTTGTAATACAATACTGAACTCTAGAACTCTGTTCAAATAGGAAGCATGTCGCACTGTTAAACAAAAAATATGGCTCGCGAAGGTAAATCAAATATAACTTTAAATTTGCAAATTCTAGAATATATTTGTAAGTTTCCTGTGTGTTTTCACAGAAAAGATTCTGGGAGGTTAGCAGTGCATCTTTAGGTAGCAGACTTATTGACTGCATTTAGTGAAGTTTCCTCAGTGAAGCTCTATTCCAATAATGCGTTCATAATTAGCATGATAATAAAGTGACTTAAAATTTAAAAAGAAGAGTTAAAAACTTTTCACTGTGGTCTAATAGGCTGTATTCTAATTCCATCCCTGCCTGGGGGAATCCTTAGAAAGTTATTTACACTTTCTAATTGACTTGACCTACATACCTAGAGACTAGAAATACAGTGCAAGGTGGCTTTTTCATTTTATAGTGAGATACGAAGATAAAGTGGGTAAATATAGGAGAAAGCATACTGCAAATTGAAAAGTAAATATATAGATAGATGATAGATAGATAGATAGATAGATAGATAGATAGATAAGTAAAATGAAGAAAAAGCAGGGACAAAAGGATAAAATAATTATATGATTATGAGCAATTAATGTGACCAGTGGAAATATTTGAAGACACTACTAGAACAAGTTTGCTACAGGAAATATAAATTTTGTGCAATGGAGTGGGGAAAATTATTCTCACTATTTCTCACATCAAGTTATGAAGAGAAACCATGCCAGCCTCATCAAGAGGCAGGATCTCTGTTGATTGTTTCTTCATGGAGAGGATGGAAGAAGAAACAGAATAAAATATATCCCACTGCTTCCCACCCACACACTTCAAGATTACTTGAGTGATGGATATGGCTGCTGACTTAAGTAATAAATACTTATTTACTTAATCCTTTAAAAAGCAGTTAGAAATAAAAAATTTTAAAAACTAGATGTTGTGGCATAAACTTATAATTCTAACATCCAGGAGGCTAAGGCAGGAGGATGGAGAGTTTAAGGTCTCATTAGGCTTTAAAGCAAAACTATGTCTGAAAAAGAAATAAAGGAAACAAGGAGGGAAAGAGAAAAGAACTGAGGGAGGAGAAAGGAAAGAGGAGAAACAGAGGGAGGATGAGGAAGAGAAAGAGGAGTAGAAGCAGTAGCATAGTGAACTATGTTAACAGCTAACTAAGAGCTAAAAAATGTATTTCAAAATCCATAGCATCTCTGCATCCCCTCCTTGATCAAACAGATTCCCCACATGGAATTTCAGTGTCCTCATTGGCCAAATAAATGCAGTCAACAAGTCATCCCATGAGCCCCTCCAGCAGGAAAGCTGCATGAAGCTCAATTTCCACGTATTCTTCACATACAGATTCCATAACTAGCGCTTCCCTTTCCACATTGCTATAAGAAGAGGAAATAAATGGCACCCTGCTATGCCAAAGACATCCTGCTAGCTGCCTCGCTTGCCTTGGTTTTGGCTGAAACATTACAATATTAATGCCATACAATCTAGAGAAACCAGGTTCTTCCACTAAATCCCAAAGCCCTAGAAAGGGCTGCTGCTCTGGAGCCTATGTTTGGCTTCGCAGGGGCAACCCCAAGCAAACTTCGCATTAAAATCTCAAGCTAAATAAAATAAACCCAAGTTAATGTAGTGTTTTTAGAAAAGCATAAATAGAGCATTTTATTAACCTTTTTTGGCTACAACAAAATGACAGTCCACATCATTTTATTCAACACAATAAAAGCTATGGTCACATTACATCACTTGGAGACACAAAGCAAAGGGTACTTTTATTTTCTTAAGGTCAAGAATGGTTTGCATTTTGAAACAAACTTCATGGTTTGTGGTTGCAGTAGCGGGGCCTCCAATCACTAGCACAACACAATGAACTGATCAAGTAGCCAGGACAGACAATTAAACACACCGATAATATTTTGAGTTGAATTGGGAAGTGCATCATTATCATTGTAGAACAATATAAAGCGATCTGATGTTAACTGTTTAAATAAAAGAAATCATTCCAACCACCCAAACAGCTACCACAAGCAAAATAAAGATAATATATAGACAGGAAATTGTATGCATTGCACTTATTGCTTGGTACACAAATGTTGCGATTCCTGTTGAGTTATATTAAGAAATGACAAGCAAAATACTTCCACCCCATCTAAAATTCTATGACTCTATGAAAGTAGAAATTACAATCCCCTAACCCAACATTAGGTATATGCTATTTTTGGTTTGTGTGAAGATTGTTCATTATGTTTCTGTGTGTATGGATGTATATAAGATATACAGATACATAGATACAATTTTAATATAATTTACTGTCCTATATATTTAAGACAATATCTTTTAAATGGGACTTTAAATAATAAAATTGTCTACTTACAATAGCTATTAAGTTTACTTTTCATATTATATATAGTTCTGTGGCACAAGATTCATATAATATTTTATTATTAAGGAAGAAGAATATCTAAACCATTTTCTATTCCTTTAATTTTCAATATTGCATTTTCAGGATTATATCTTCATAATAAATTTCTATTTAGATTCTTTATGGTGTATATATCTTTGTCCCTTAATGCAAGTTACAACCAGTACAAAGTTGTAATAAAAAATACATTAAAGTCTATTTCTTTTTTATATTTTTTGCAAAAAAGTTATGTGATATGCTACATGAAAAATTGAATTTATTGAAATGTGTAGTGTGTCATACTGTTAGGTAATGAGTGGAAGAACATGAAGCATACCCCTCATTTTACAAGTTCTCTTTCACAAAAATAAGTGTTTGTGCCCAAGCATTTCATATAAAACACTGCAAGATATTCCTCTGGATCACAAAATGTCCCACATTACGCAACCCAATTATTTATGTTGTACAACTTGCGAGCTGCTAGTGCTCAACTGACTTTTTCCATTGAGGGATCTCAACTCTATTACTTACACTCACTAATTATTGTCAACATCTGGTGCAGCCAATAGGATCGTACCACTTGTTTTAGAAACAGGATTTCTGTGTGATATCTTGCAATACAGTGTAACAAATATATAAGTGCATTTTGCATGATCAAGTAGCTTTGGCTCCCTAACTTCTGTAGGATGAGATGTGCCAAATGTTTGTGCTTTGTTAAATGGTGATGCATTCTAGCGCCTGGGAATCCAATGGAGAACTACTTGCTTCTACCATGAACCTTTGAATCACAAAGGCAAGAATGGATGACCTGAATGGAAATGACGTAATCTCACAACTTCTACAGATTGCACTTGGTGGTGGTTTCATGGGTTTGACTTCATTTTTACAGCAAGACTTGCTTGGTTGATATGTTTACATGTTTACACCACACTTTTAATTTTTTTGTGCAATCACATTTAATTTAATCACAAACACTAAAAATAAATCCAGCAATTAATTGTGTTATGAATAATCACCTTGGTCTTTATAGGTATATGAGTCTTGTACTCCTTCTTGCACAAATTCCTCTTTCTTTTCCCAACCATTAGGCCAACCTCCGTTAGCCTGTGTCGTGGCACCGTACGACTTAGTGGTACCATAATTTATATAATTCTGAGTAATGTCCCCTGTTTCTTCATCCAGTTCATCTTCATGGATAAATCCACATTTTTCTTCACTTGTTTCCTCAGGGTCTGCCCAGGGTTGCTTCTCTCCCGAGGCAAATATGGCATAAAATATAACTCCACCGTAGTGGACGAGGGCTGCGATCAGGAAGACATACTGCCACTCCTCACGTGACTGCAGTGATAAAAATGTTACTGTAAGTGGAAACTGCCATGGTTAAAACATGAAACATCTCCTCTGAGTCCTGTACCATCATGCCTTTTGTGAAATACTGTCTTTGGGAATATCTAGATCCTGGTTACGGAAAGCAAACACTTTTATTAAAATGTTCCATAAAATTATTTCTTTGATCAATATTTAACATAAAAGTTCTGGAATGAAGTTCCAAATCTATCAATAACCTGATTAATTATAAAATATTCTCTTTTCATATCCACTGATTTGCTTATCATTTTATTTTCTTCTGCTAGCCCATAACTTTGAAGCATTATGTACCTATATGTTGACCAATAGCTGATACTAAAATTTCCCTGTAGACAAATGCAAAGGGGTCTGAATTGAAATTTATAAATGAAACTGAGGAGACTTCTGCTTGCATTCTTTAATAAGGTGCAATTATAAAAATTATTTTTTGCCACATTGGAGATATAAGAAATAGGTATGTTGTGTGCTTCCCTGAGTTTGAAACCCAGCAAAGCAATAAATAAATAAATAAATAGCCATTAAATGGTATGAACAAAATTCCTGCTTATTGATTTGACGAGTGAATCTTCTCAGGATTCCTGAGAGACGTTTTCATTTGGGTCTCAATTATCTTTCCTACTCTGAAGTGTGGTGACTGAACCAGAAAGCCTGTGTCGAGAGAACACAGTCCCCCTTTCGAGCCTGATAAAGCGTCTTCAGCAGGACAGTCGTCTCTCTTCTTACCTTATTTTTCGTCATTGCACCTACAATGATAGGGCAAACCATTCCCGACAACGTGCCAACGCCATTTGAAATGCCCATTAAGATGCTGGCATATCTTGGTGCAATATCCAAGTGGTTCACGTTGAAGCCTGGAATACGCACAGAAGCACTGACTCAGAATCCTATGGCCCTTCAGGGTGGGCACTTAGGAGGCTACTCAGCCCTCCTTAGAAGGTTCTGGCAACACAGCATGTGCTTAGTGACTACATTTTTATAATTCAGCTCGGGGATATAGTAAGAATGGAATGAGGTTCAATTTCTTGTCCCATAGTTGTGTGATGTTCCCTGGGTGAGGCAGAGAAGATATTCAGCTAACAAAACAAGCAACCCCAACAACAACAAAGGAAAGCTGACTTGGGGGACCACCAAGTACAAACAAATCTAAGCAATTTTTCTACATGTTTTGGTTGTTCCTTAATTATTATATATGTATAAAGTCACCAGTCAAAATTAGGATGTCCCATACATAGAAATGAAAGTAGCTTACCAGATATAGCAAATCCGCTGAATCCCACTGCAAGTACCAAGAATGAGATGGCGACCCCTCTGGTGTGAGAATAGCCAACCACCAGCAGCAGGGTGGCTTCCATTCCAAAACCTTCAGGAGGAAACAGACGGAAACACTTCGGAAAGTTTTGCAATCTGACCAGTGAGCTAAAACTGCCAACAGTGCTCATATTTATGGACCTACACATTCCTAAGAAACACTATACCAATATACCAAAGTACAAAAATGAATACTAATTATATATCCTGGAGATTACTGAAGCTTTCTCCTTGTTTTCTTACAAAAATGCTGAATGGTAGGCTGGGTAGTTCCCTACCCTAAACAGACATAGTACAATGCAGTGATTTAAAACTAAGTGTTACAAAACATTTGAACAAAGGTGAGAAAATGATTTGAAATAAACAGCAAGGGCACAGATATCACTAAGTAGCTCAGCATGCCGTGCAGCACAAGGTATTCACCCTTGTGGCTCAGAACTTAGGGAACAGAAGCATGTCCTGACCGTCAAGTGTGCACTTACCACCACAATTCATGATCTTCCTCACTGTCGTTGTCGAAAGGATTTGCTTGCTTCTTAGAAAATCTGCAATCTGTCCTCCAATGGGCACAATGATTGTCATGACTAAGTGGGGCACAGCTGACAGCATACCGACCTGGTGAGAGGCAGGAAACAGGGAGAAGTTCACAACCAGAGAGAACTCGGGAACTCAGTGGGTTTGACTTTCTGAGTCCATCATCCACTTTTTATGAGCAGAGGAAGGCAAAGGACTGTCCCCAAATGACCACGTCCTCATTCCTACAACAAGTAGCAACTTCTGTACAGCAAATGATAAAAGCTAAGTCAGTTTACTTTGTCTTTTTGTCTTCCTGATGGAGGAAAATTTTTATTGCTGTTATGAGTTGGCAAATTTTGAGCTCATGAATTAACTAGCTTGAGTCTTATCGCTGAGTGATTCAACACTTAAGCGTTCATTTCATATTCTTCAGTGTCTTTCCACAAAATCACCAATAGGGAGACCAAGAAAGTAAGGGCGGGGAAGAGATAAGAAAAGGAAAAGTCCATTTGACATGCCTTGAAGGGATGTATTTTAAAATTCATCTTTAATTCATAAGGCTAAGAACTGCACATTTTTACATTATACAGAGTATGAATTTATAGCATACATTTAATTGCTGCACAGTAAAAGTCCACATAATGAAGATTAGTTATTTGAGTTTAGGTATTTCTTGCTAAATATCAATATGTAGTCACGTTGTCACGCAGTGGTGAACAGACTCTGAACTGATGTCCTGGGCCTTGGTGCAATCTAAAATCTACCCAGGAAATACCAATACAGCACCCATTCTCACCATTAATAATGTCCACACCATAGTTCTAGACACAGGAGGAGCAGGAAGTGTGAATAAACTTCATTTAAATGGAGTATTATCACATCTATGAACCTAGAAAACTTCAAATGCATGCAGATAATAGGGAATTTTCTCATAAGCATACTTTGGCATATGCCAAGTATTGGACAGGAGTTACTTGTGGTTAAATATATCTTTCAGAAGTGGCAAGCAACGCAGTGGCCAGGGTTTGATCCCCAGTGTGCTGTGCTGGCCCTGCCCCAGGGTACACTGAGATGGCGATTGAGACTGGGCATAGTGGTGCATGCCTGCAACCCCAGGGCTTGGAAAGCTGAAAACAGGAAAATCACAAGTCTGAGCTAAGCAGTGAGACCCTGTAGACCCTGTGGAGCCTGCACTAAATACAAAAAGAAAAGAAAAGGCAAGCAAAACCACCAAAATAACATCCAGGATTTGGAAGCAGATCTATTTACATCAATGTGATCATTCCCAGAATATCAGACCATGATCTCTGGTGGTCTATGGCTTATACAAGTTATGCAAGCAGGAAGTACAGAGGGAGAATGGCTTGTTAACTGGGGACTGGTTTATACAGTGTGCATCAAACACACCAGCTGTATATCACAGTGACCAGTCACTTCTAAGAGACAGGAGCAACAGGAACAGGCACAGGAACTATTACCTGGGCAATTAAGAAGCTGACATGTACTGTCTGGGATGGGGGGCATTTTCTGCTATATTTCCCAAAAGAGGACCAAAGGATTCTATTTTCTTTTATAGGGGGTATATAGAGTATAGCATAACAATCATGCAGTTGGGCTTTTGTAATGACTGAGATGGGGAATAACTAAAATAGCTTCTATGTGTAGGCTACTGAATTCTTCTACCCCAGAGAGAATTGTTAAAATATTATTATTATATGAGGAACAAGAGATTTAGAATGATTGTGTGGCTATCAGAGGCAAATTTTGAGATATTTCTGCCTGTGTGCAAGGACTGAGCTCAGACCCTATATTCTAAACATCAGTTCCAGCAGCAAAAGGAAGAAAAACAAATAGAGAACATATGTGAATGTGTTTAGTTAAGTTCAAATCTGGTATTTAATAAGGGTTCAAAAATGTGAGATAAATAAAGATACAATATAAATTGATCTTAGGAGGACAAACTGTATTTGCTTTCGAGTTGAACACCTTGAAAAAACTATAGTGCTTCTTTATTTTTTATTAGGACACGTTAGCAAGACATAATGACTATCACCAGCATTTATTGTCCACAGTTGGACATATGCACCCACATGCTCACCCTGCCCACTTGCCCTCCATCTTCCCCGTCCACCCCCTTCCATCTGGATCCTCTTCCCATGCAGCAAAGTTCTAGCTTCCTATTTCTTATTGTTTTATTTTGATTTTTACATTATTTATATATTGAGATTTTCATGAAAAAGAAACTGGAATATTTAACCTCCTGTGCCTGGTTTATTTTGCTCAGCATTAGAGGTCAAGGTGCATCCAACATCCTACAAATGACTCAGATTTATCCTTCTGGATAGTTGAGCAGTACTCCATTGTGTATAAGTACCACACTTCCTTTATTCATTCATCTCTAAAGGAACATATTTGCTACTTCCAAAATTAAGGCATTATTAATTGTAGTGCTGTCAGTATGTGTTATTTCTCTTAATTGAAATGCATATATTTCACGCAATTAATATGTAAAAATAAACCCTGGGAAAACCATTCTGAAACACAACGTGTCATGGAATGTTTGTTACTATTTTGAGACAAAGTTTCATTACATAGATCAGGCTGGCCTTGAACTCACTACATAAGCCAGGCTGGCTTTGAAACTGTGATGATCACCCTGCCTCAGCCTCTTGAGTGATGGGACTACAGGCATGTATGAACATGACCAATTGTGTTATATTTTTAATAACCATAAAGACAGGCTAAAAATTTAGAGTGGCTGTATTTTCCAAGCTCATGTAATTAACTTGCATTTTGGCTCAGTATTTTATGCTTCTCCAAAATTCTTAACTTCAACATCCTGCTATTTCTTGTCTGTTTAAATAGGTATTTTATTATTTTCAATACGCTAAGAACAAAGATGTGATGATCATTTATTTATTTTCCACAAAATATGTTACAAAGCATAAAGGGACATGCAAGGGAATGACAAAAGTCAAAAGAGACAGCAGTTTTGGAATATTTTATGCATGGAATTCACATTTCAAGATTTGTAAACTCCTAATTTAATAGGTAGAAATCCGCTGTGCCTGGCCTGGTCATAGCCAAAGAAGTCTTACAGCTTCATGAAAGTCGATCAGAAGTCTCCTTAGCTTTCTGTGACATGAGCCATCACTTGCCACATGATGAGAAAGATCAAACCTTTCTTAGCCTCTCACTGTATATGACAATCACATACCAATTTGCTCATTAGTTGAAGGTTTTGCAAGAATAAGCTAAATGTTTCAAGTGCATAACTGATTCCTTATAGAGACTCCAGGTCCCGAGACCTTGCCTATTCCCCCTTGTTTCCCTGGGACACAGTTTGGACTGCATATGTCACTATCTCATCCACATTCTGCTCAAAAGTTTACAAGCTGCATAGCAACCAAGAGTGGTGACTCAACACTTTTCCTCCTCCCTTGAATATGCAATTCAAAAGGTGTGAGGCTTCCTCTCTTCCGGCTGCTTGTGATGCTGTGATCATTCCGCTGCTTGCTCATCACTGTATTGACCTTAACTAATCTTAACCACTGTCAGAAGCACCATGTAAAACATAGTTTCCTTTTCCCCTTCGCCATATGAAAAAAGAATGTGAACTTCTATAGCTTTTAAAAATGTTTTTAAAGTTAATGTATAGCACATGTATACAAATCACCTAAAACATGAAAGTATATCTCAATGATGTTTCCAAAAATAAGTATCTGTATAACAAGTCAAGAAATAAAACTTACCAGCAGAAAGAAAAAAAAGGGCTGAATAGTCTCATATTTTGGCATAGGTAGATATAATATTATACAAATATGTTAGTTAATACAGTTTATCCACATAGCTAATTTATATGCATATATAACTAAAAATAGCTAATAGTATAAAATGTATATTATATAATATGCATACATACATATGCTTTCCAGCTGTAGGATATTCAATTTAATGACCATGTGTGTGATAATTCACATCTAGTTGTCCCCCCAAAGCTTCATGCCGTCTTGGGGGGGCTTCTACAGTTTGCGATTAATTCATGATCCACTGGGACACTGAGTGTGAGTGTCGCTGGGATTACGGGTGTGAGTTCTCCTCCCAGCCTGGAGTGGATAGTCTGAATGCAACTTAAGGGAGACAGACGTTCTCTGTGGCCACTGTTGCTGCTGCTGCTCCCGTTTGTTCTTGCTCTCTGCTCTTTGCCACCTCCACTAAAGGTTGCCCTCTGCCATGTGCCGCTCTGCCTTGGAGCAAGCTGAGCATGGACTAAGATCTCCACAAGCTGTGCACCTAATAAATCTTTCTTTCCTTAATTTGGGGTGTCAGGGATTTCATCTCAGCAACTAGAGAGGAGTGACTGAGACAATCAGGGAGATCCATCTTCAGTGTAAAGTTTATTCCTTTTAGAATGTGCTGCAGTCATGAAAGATGATAGCAATATCATTATTCCAAGATACAACCCTGAGGCTGACAGTGACACCAAAAGTGGCCTGAAGTTGCATCCCAGTGCTCACTGGAGAGCCTGGATTGGACCCAGGCCAGCCCAGAGCCCTAGCTCACAATATATGATCCATCTTTCCCTTGGCACCCTTCTCACTTGAGTCCCAGTATTTCTATTTTTACCGATCATCTATTCAAAATCTCGAGATCAATCTACAAGCATAGAATTTATCTAGAACCTTAGCTAAAAAGGTACCAGGAGATTCGAATCAACAAATTTATAGTATTTAGTTTTTGCAAAATATCACTGATTTTACTCAAGTATTTTCTCTGTGTTGGAGGAGCCAGCCTGACCACACACTTTCATCAATAAACCCCGGCTCTTTCATTCTCCCCTGTGAGACCTGGCTTCACTAGTGGCCTCTTGGAGTCAGATTTGTCCTCGCTTATGAAGACAGACTCACACATCGAGCAGCAGCCTTTCTCCCGAAGTGTGACACCTCTCAGAGCTCCCAAAGGCCACCTTGTAATGTTTGATCGGGTCTAAAGAGAACAGCCTTGTCTAAAGCACTCACTCTTCTCAGAGAGGAAACCGTTCCCTTAGAAACAGGGATGACAAAAGCGCCCTTAGAATAGCTACTCCTAAGTCCAGGCGTCCTCAGCCCCAGCCCTCAGATACTTTTTAATAGAAACACAGTATGAAGAGCGAGAGTCCAGCTGGACTTAGCAATGACACGAAGAGATGGCCCAGACCGTTGCCAGCCCCAGATAAGTGTATTCAGCACTCAACAAAAGACTCGGCACAGACAGGGCATTCAAAAATTACTTGCTAAGTGCCTGGATGGGTCTCAGGTTTACCTGAATCTGAATGGGAGCATAGAGGGAATTTAAATGGACATCAAAAGATCAAAGCATGCTCTTGCTTATTACCATGGCTGTGGGTAATTGAAATCATTTCTGTTATTTCTGTTTTCCCTATCTGTTGAACAGAAACGATGACAGTTATCTAGCTGGTCAGCCAAAGTTGTTCCAGAATATGAAGAGATCATCTAAATTTCAAATCCATGTATAAAATATATTCTTAAATTCCTTTTCCCTTTATAGAAAACGTTGAGATGACTAAATTTCCATAACAATGAACACTAGTTGGTGGCACGTAGCATGCTGTGCTGGGTAACAGCTTTTTGTCGACACCACCAAGCTGTGAATGTTTTGGGAGAGAAACCTCACTTCTGGACCTATCCCAAAGTTTCACCTACTATGTCCAACAAATGCTTTTGAAATTAACAAGTTGAATGAAAACAACACAAGAACATTTTGCCCAGCTTATATCTGACAACTCAGAGTATCTGAGAGCTCTGAGTAAGAGTTACATTGATAACTATCTGCATGCATTTCCACTTGAATAGAATATTTTTTCACTGTTATGTAACATCTGACTTGAGACCAAAATTGAATTATGTTTATTTATAGGAAAAGTTCTGCACCAGCGCTCACACCAACTGAGACGTAAGTTCCAAAAAGGAAGAGATTAGATTTGCTTCGCATCTATTCCCAGCACTGGAAAGCAATTTCCAGCAGACAACAGGATATGGTAGGACACTCCAGCAGTTTTTTGTTGGATAAATAAATAATTCATGAACATTAGAAAACAAATTTATAGGGAAAGAACACAATGTTCACTTAATTAAAAAAAAAAACCCACTATTCACATGAGGTTGATTTTACATACCTTGCTGATTTCAAATCCAAAGACTTCCTCAAAATATGCTGGCTGACTAATAAGCAGTAAGTAAAAAGTCCAGCTTCGGCAGAAGTTCGCAACAATGATTGCATAGACTGGCATAGATGTAAAAAATTTCCTCCATGGAGTCTTGAATTTCTGAAATTTCAGAAAGAGCGAGGCTCTGATCATTTTTCGTAGTTTCTACTTTAAATGTAAATAACAAGTAGTTTATATTTTCAAGATGTGGATGATGGGTATGAGCTGGCAATAGGCAGGGGACAATAAGTTAATAGTTATAACCACCAGGTAGCTTTTGCTATGTGCATAATTGCTGAATGGGAAAAACAAAATATCAGTCTATTTTAGTTAAGTCATTCCAGCTTTAAGATATGCGAAATTCCAAGTATACAGAAAATTCCAAAGCTATAAATTATAGTTTCTAAGATGTTTTAGTATTTTGCAGGTGCCACTGTCACATGAGGCCTTCTGATCACTAAAATATTTCATTCAAAATATCAAAAATTCAATATACTTGATAGGAGAAAGACAGAATAATGCCTCCAAGTCCTCTTGGCATCACTTATGTATGCCACCATCTATCTGTAAGTTCTCTTGACAGGCAATCGGTAGCCATATTTTCCACAACAGTAGAGCACAAGGTCCTACAAACGTCACTCTGTATGCACCCAGGTGACAGCACTCACCCCCACAACACCTTAGACACATCACGGGTGAAGTGGGACTTTTCTGGGAGGCACTGTGAATTGAACTCAGAACCTCACGCTTGCTGAGCAGGCATTGTGCCACCGAGTTAAGTCCCCAGCCCTAGGCTAAAATGTTTTACGTGTGATCTTCAAGACATTCAAAATTAGCAACATAAATATGGCTGGGTTTGGTTGTGGTTGCCCTTAAAAATTAAACATAGGGCACGTAAGTATTTTATTTATTTATTTATTTATTTATTTTACAGTACTAGGGATCGAACTCTAGGCCTTGCACTTGCCAGGCAGGCACTTACGCTTCTCAGCTTTCTCCCCATCCCTCACTTAAGTATTTTAGAACTGAAAAATCCATCATATTCTCAAATAGTTCACAATTATTTTGAATACAGTATCGTTTGCTAAAGTAAACACAGCCTAAAATAATTTTATTCACCATTTTCTGAAGATCCTAACATGACCAATTACCAAAAGAGGCTGTGACCATACCTTTGCCCAAGATTTTTTTAATTTTATTTTAATTAGTTCACACGATTAAAGGAAAATTCATCTTGGAAATTTGGTACTTGCCTCTAATATATCTTAAAATCATTTACTATATTATCTCCTCTCCCTTTCCTCTCTCTTCTTCACCCTCTTCTTTTAAATATAGGTTTAATAATTATTCCTGGATGTGTGTCCTCATGTTATTACTAATATGTGACTGTAATTAATCTTTTGGTTTTTGAGATGGCTACAATCGTGCCTTGGTTCACGAACTCAATTCTCTCCACAATCCTGGTCACAAGACAAAGTGGATAAAAGCTGAATCAAATTTCCCCATAAGGTCAGCACTGAATCTAATATTGAATTTGACTCAGTTCTCTTAAATCTGTGTTTGTGAGCAGTGTTGTGGAGAGAATCGCGCTCATGAACGGAGGTACCACTTGTACTTGCTGTGTGCCTCAGCCTGGCCTCCAACTCAATACCCTCCTACTTTAAAATCAGTACAGTGAGAAGTTGTATTGTGTTGGCCACAATTATATGGAAAACAAAAAGAAACAAAAACAAAATGCCTTAATAATGCTAATGGGTATTACTATGGGGTCAAATATCTAGTGACAGTAGATATTTGGGGTCAAATATCTAGTGACAAATATCTAGTGACAATAGGTAGGTGTAAAAAGGATTGCTTATGAAATAATTAAATATGTTCCAGGAAGATGCTGCCAGATGAAACAACTTATGCTGCCACAGATAAGAAATGACCAGAAAACTATTAGAAGTAAATGATGTTTCCCAGCTGAGGAAGTGTTTCTTTATCTATGTCAGGATCATTTTCCCAGAGTAGCTTTTGCTTCAGTTACAAGGCAGTTCATTAAGTATAAAAATATCTAATTTTATACCATTAAAAACCTGGGGAGAGCTGGAGGCCAGCTTATGGTAAACTCACAATACATTATGGACTGAATTGGCTGTGTGTGTTTCACAGATACGCTTACATAAACTCAGCTGTCTATTTAAGACAGAGCCATGAATTTTCCTGTTCTATTTTATATGCTTTCTTTTGTATTTATTCTGTCATATTTAAAATTATTTTAACAAATAAAAACAGTACAAACATATAAAAGCTCTCAGTCAATTGCAACCTGGGACTCTAAAATGGATTCAGATGAAAAACACATGGCTACATAAGAATACGAATGGCAAGCACAAGGGCCTGAGTTCAATCCCCAGTTC